ATCCGCGGATCCCCCAACCGATGCCATCGGTGCGTAGGGTGAATCGCTTTCCCAGACGCGCAGATCGCCGATGTCGTGGGTGACGGACTGCCAATGAAAGTGAAATTGCTGTCGACTGCTAAGAATTGAAGTTGAGCGAAACTCCACATTCATCCATCGACTTCATTCGATTTATGGGCCTGTCTGCTAGAGGTTCAATGTACTACTATATTTTCATCATTGCCACATTTTTTACTGCCAGGCTTTTACATATAATTACGTTTTACGATGCGGAGATTCAAATTTAAAGCAGTAGAAATTTTGTTATATATTTATTTTGCAAAAATGCTTGAGCATATAAAGGAGATTTTTTTATGTGTCAAATGAGATCGAGAGCGACTGAGTTTATCCACGGGGACGATGTCAAAGGTCAGCGCATGTTTTCAGGGGGTGTGCTGGGTTGGCGAATCCAGAAAAAATACCACATGGCATCGATGAAGCCCAGAGACAATGGGCAGACGTCGATGTTGGCTGCTTGTTAGGCTGAGCCCAAACAACTTGAAACAAACAAACCAAAATGCCGCAGTTACAAAAACCAAAACAAATAACAGGGAGCAAACAAACAATAACAAAAAGCAAGCCAGAAATCGTTTGGTTAGTAAACAGAAGCCAATTTACCCTCACGGAGTAAAAGAAAGTCGAAAAGAGTATCCGATATAGTTTCATGCGAGCAGATTGAAAGATTTATCTTCATAAAAAATTCAGCACAAATGCCGTTGATGAAATTGAAAATGTATTATTTTTAAGTACCTTGAAAACCTGAAATAGTTGGCAATGAGAGATAAGATATTTCTAGAGTTGTTATTTAGCAAACTATAGAGTTCCTTAATTGAAATAACTATTCAAATCGTAATTAATCCTAATTTGAATTTCATAAATAATGTTAGCTCATTGTTATTCTCATGATTGATTGAATCATTTATTGAATTATTTTAACAAGAATTTGGTTTTTAAAGATTAATCAGTAGTTGTAAGGATAGGCTTATTTCAAGCCTGTCAATAAATGTACTATACCCATTTTTCGGAGATATTCAAGCAAATGCAAATACAGGGAGGACTTGCGGATCATTTGTTGTTGCCTTTTTGGTGGTTGCTCTGTTGTCATTATTTATTTATGCCCAAAACGTTTCATTTTCATTTGGTTTTGGCCAAAAGGGAGTCATCGTAGTTGCCGTCGTTGCTGTTGTTGTAGTTGTTTTTTTTAGTTGGTCTGAAACCTGAAAACTGGGTTACTGGCGCCTGTTTCGGGCTACAAGATCGTGTCATGCGATTTCTATCTTTGTGTGACTACGAAAGCGACAACCGCAGCATTGTCGAACGCTGAAGAAGAAAAACCCCGAAAATCGAAACAGAAACAGCCGAATCCAACTGCCAACGGAGAATGAGAGTTGTGTGCTGGGTTGTGTTTCGTTGTGTCTGCAGATCGCTGGGTAGTTCATTTTGGGACTGCAACTTAAACTGGGTACTGCAACTGCAAATGCGGCCGTTTCGAAAACAAAAGTAAAGTGTTTGCGCCTGCGGCGTGGGCAGGAGTTGCCTTCGAAATGGGACATATAGCGAGCCGATCTCTGACTCACAAGCGCCAGCACTCGAGGCGGTAGCTTGGGAGTGGGTCATTCAAATCTATCACAGATGTTTTCCCTAGTTTCTGGGGGTGACGAGTGTATGTGTGTGAGTGAATAGGGCATTCGGTGTTCAGTATTTTTTTTATAAGGCAGAGCAAAAAAAAAGTTCACAAGAATTTAAGTATTTTTTAATTAATTAAGATACAAATATTATAACCATTGTAATTCAAAGATTATTTTGATATATTGTTATGCACATATATTTAAAAGCTTTCCAAATTAATTTATTATTCATTTCAGATTCTGGGGCACACCCTACTTCTGTTTAAATTCAACAGTAATTTATTCAATGTCAAAGTAATTTTCTCCGTGCATCTGGCGATGTGTGTGCCGGGGTCCTCAGCAGTCGCCCAACAAAGTAGTCACGAATTAGCGCAGTTCACATGGGAATGCAGCAGGATGGAAGGGAGTGGGGATTTGGGGGCTCGAGGGGTTGGGGGCATTGGGTAGGGCTAGACACACATGGCTAAGAATATGCAGCGGCAGTCCCAGCTGTTGACACACTCACACAGTCGAAGGAATGCATTCTGTTGCAACAGCGGCTGAAGTTCGTTGCCTAAGTCTTTTGTTTGGCTGACGCATGAGCGAATGAACTCGAGTGGCTGAGTGTCCAAGCTGATTTATGCGCCTGACCGCTCCACAGTCGCACCACCTACGCACTCGCACTCGCATTTCCATTTCCATTTCCATTTCCCTATTAGTATTTCCAACACCCCAAGAGAGCCCAGTTATCAACTGATAAGTAGCTTATGTAATGGCCCACGAAAATGGGTTAAAAGTCGCTCTGACAGTTTAATTTGACACTTTTTGGAACCTCCATCTCCATCTGCATCTCCGACTTGGTTTTGGGTTTTGATTTTGATTTTCGTCTCACTCTCACTCTTTCCTGCTGTCTCCGCTTTTGTTGGAGAGCACGGATGACAGAGTGCTTTTTGTTTTGGTATTTTCTTTCATATTTGCTTAACAAGATTGTGTGTATTGAATTGTCATTTCTCTTGACAATTTAATTTGGATTATGCGGAGGCTACTGAACACCAGCTCGGTGCAGCAGGGTGTGCAGGTCGAGAAAAAGGCAGAGGTGAAAAAGATTGGGTCACCGACTTGAACATATAATAATTTAGCGTTGTCATCTTAATTTTTTAATAACCCTTCCAATTGTAGTATGAATTATTTCATTAAAAATTACAACATTCAAATAATGTATGGTTAACAAAGTTAGGTTAAGAATAACAATACTTGTGTTTGTAATGGTATAAAACCTTAGAGGAAAACCTTATAAAACTACGAATCAATGGTCAGTTTTGGTTTGTTTTTATGTGACTGGCAGAGTGGTTTTTGTGGCTGACTTTGGCTTCTGGCCTGGGCACGTTTTGGGCCAACTGGCCAACCGGCAGAAACAAAAGGCTCTGGCTGTGGCTGTGGCAAAACGCATTGAAGAAGTCACCAGCAGCGGGCAGAAAAGCCGAATCCCTGAAAAGCCGAGAGCCAAAGATTATTAATCACTGGCCTCCTCCTGCATTTCCGTCTTGACCCAGGTTATGCAAAATGTTGGCAAAAGGCCAAACGAAAGCAGTCGAAAAGTAGAAATGTTTGCCTAACAAATGATTGCTATTTGCAGCCAGCAGCAAGTGCGTTGCCGCATTAACTGGAATGGAAATGAAAAGGAAAGACATTAATTGAATATTCGAAAAAATCCGAAAACGCGCATGCGCACAGAGCACTGTTAAGTCGGCAGCCTCTGTTAAAACTGGTCGAAAAATGTCAGAAATTGGTCGAAACGAAACTGTAGCAGGAAGCTCTGTTAAGTGGAAGGCATTGTCTTCGCTGATTTCGTAGATTTTATCGCAGCCTGTTGCATAAACTTATTGATTTGCCATGCTTGTTGCTGCCGCCTGAACATATAAACAAATCAGCTGCTGCTGCTTGCCCCAAACAACAATTGCATAAATCAATTTTACACAGAAAATTTGCTGTTTTTTCTGCTTCTCTGTTTTTTTTTTTTTTGGTCCACCAGCCCACAGTGCGTATGGATGGCTGGCACATGTAAATTTGATTAAAAGCACGTTTTACCACAAACGGACAAGCAACAACGGACTCAACCAGAAAATGAAGTGCTAAAAATGCATTTTCTGGCCCGTTGCTAATTTCCACGGTGTCGGACCGAAAAAACGATGACGCCTCCACTTTTGATAAATGAAAGTAAAAGTACAAAAACTTGCACTTCACAGATCATTAGCGGTGGTTAGTTTTCGTTTTATGTGCGTTCGTTTTCCTGCGTTCAATGAACCAATGGCATGGCCATGGCAAGAGCCATTAAAAATAGAAAACCAAAACCGAAGCCCATCAAAACTTGTTCTTTCACTTTCAATGTCACGCCACAGAGAGCGCGCCGAAGACCTTCAACTTTTGGACCCGCTCACCCCCGTGGGGCACTGTTTCTTCCGCCTGGGAATTAATTGCGGCATAAAGCAAACATTTTGCGAGTCAATGTACGTAATTTGAAAATCGTGCCAAAATAGATGCCACACTGCCGTACTCGTACTCGTAGCCGTAGCCGAACTCAATTTGCGGGCAGCAGGTGCAAAGAGCGATGCAGCGGGGCAGACAGGCAACTCCCCCGCGAAAATCCAGGGAGATATATATGTCTGCTGCTGGTTGTATCCACTGTAGTCATTTGTCTGCATGTCGCTTTGTTGAATTGTCTATTTGTTTGCCAAAAAGTGCCATGAAGACAACTCGTTGTTGGCCAAAAGCAATTTCATTTCATTTGCTGCTCCTGCCGCCGCCGCCGCCGCTGCTGCTGCTGCTGCTGCTGCTGCAACAAATTACTATCATTGCTGTTAATAGTTCATTAAGTCACGGACGGGAGATGTGGAAGCCATGCGGAATCACGGCTACACGGAACGTGAAGCCGTAAAACGTAAGATCGAACTTCAATCCAAAGCACCGAACCTCAAGTGGCAGAATAATTGAGTGAACGGCAAAGTAAACATTTCAATTTCGTTATTAAGTCATCAATTAGAGGAACCCAAATCTGACTGCGGGGTGATTCGGTTTTGATTTGAACTACCGAGTGGCAAATTGCCAGCCATAAAAGTTTTGCAATTAAGACGTTGCAATAACATTTCTTTGTTTCTGGGTTAGCAGTTTATCGTTGGGTTCGATTGCTTTATTGCTAGTCTAAGGCTGTTACAAAACATTACAATCTATTTCTATTTTTAGGAAACATAAATTAATGGCAATGGAAGTTAAATTTAATTAAATATATCTAACCAAAGTTTAATTGTTTTTAGAACTTCAAATTTGTATTTTATGGCAGTAATTTTTTCTAAACTCTTAATTTAAAATAAACTCATTATAACAAATATCGCAGCGTTCGATTGTTTGATGGCTGGCTTGTAAGGACTTCCGGGCACTTTCAATCAATGGCGATGGCTTATTTTCCTTTCCAACAGCTCCTCCGTAATTCTTTCTCATTACCCAAGGAGAAGTTCTTCGAGAACTGAGCAAGGATGCTGTGTAGGTATGTTTACCTGGACTGCAGGACCTAAGCGAATGTAAGGTAGCAGTGGATCCTCTCAGAATCTCCAGCTTTGCCAGAGCTGCCTCCAAATCGGAGTCCTCATAGCCCTCCAAGACAACTTGATCGGGTGATTGGGTAAAGGATTTTATACTGGGAGTGGTTAGACTGCTCATGGGCTGGATTATCACATCTAAATTTCCGCTGTCCGAGGATATCGCACTGGAAGCACGAGAGTTCGGTGGTGATGGCCTTTTTATTGGGGAAACTATAGTTTGTGAGGTAACTTTTTCAGGTGTTTGGGGTAAAGAGTTTTCATTCTGGTTTGTGGGGGTTTGGATTTCTGTACTAGGACTAAGATCTCCGGAAAGCAGAAGTTCTGAAGGAATTCGATCTGTTTTGGTAAGCATTTCTGGCATATCACGGCTTTCATTTGTTGTTTTATCCCTAGAAATTCTCCAAGGACTTGTATCCGCTTTAAAAGAATCAAATTCAGTAAGAGAATGCTCTCTAGATCGAACCACCTCGTTGGCCAATAGTTTTTGTACTCTCAATGAACTATTGCCTTCTTTAAACGAATCAAATTCAATATAGGAAGGCTCTCTAGATCTCACCATTTCCTTTTTACTTCCCAACGGACTTTTACTGGAGGCAATGTTCTTTTCTGACTTCTTTGCCAAAGGTTTTGATCCTTTCGAAGGACTCCTGTGCGACTTTATTGAATCAAACTCATTATATGATGGTTCTCTGGAGCGAACAATATGTTTTGGTATGGATTTGGAGATCCGTAATGGACTCTTATCGACTTTGGGCGGTTCCAACTCCAAATAAGACGACTCTCTGGAGGAAATATTCTTGGAGGCCTGCTTCTTGGAAGACTTTTCTCTTCTTGAATCCTCAATAAATGATGGCTCCCTAGAGCGAACCACGTCCTTTGTTAAAGGTTTGGATATCCTTAGAGGGCTCTTTTCCATTTTGGGGGTTCCAACTCCAAATAAGATGACTCTCTGGAGGAAATAATCTTGGCAGCTGGCTTTTCTCTTCTCACATCTTTTGTTGGAGTTATGGGATGCACTACTCGGTGGTTTCCAATGCCAAGGAATTTCTCCCTCTCAGGGCGCAAAGGCGGTTGCAATACCCCCGTGCTCATTCTGCGGCCAAATCCAGGTTCCTCTGCCAAAGGAGCAGGTCTTCCCCTGCCCCACCCCGAAATCCTTTCCGCAGGAGCTCTTTGGATACCCGAACCAATGCGATTGGTCACTGGAAGACTGATGCGTTCGCGTTGCGGATTAAAGTCGAAGGTCCTGGAAGTGGCGTGATTCGAGAGCCTGGAGCTGGACCTTGAAATGCTACCCGCCTGTTCGGAGGCCACGAACTTGGCAAACTCCCGCTGACCTCGGCGAGTTGGCGCCGGTGTTATGTGACCGCTGGATAAATCCGATTGGGAGGCACTCTGCGAGTTTCCACCACTGAAGTGGCCATCATAGTGATTCGGCTTATCCCGCAGACTGGTGTGATCCTGGTAAACGGAGAACTTATTCTGGCTGTGGGCAAAGCTCTCGTATGGCTTGAACTTCTTGCTTTTGGCCAACTGATCGGCGAATTTCTCCCATTCTGTGGTGCTGGGCCGCTGCAGCTCTTTATCCTTTTTCTCCTTGCGACGCACTTTACGAGTTCTATGGTTTGCATTTTAGTAAGTAGGTATTTGGGTGTGAAAAAATATTACTATGTTAGTTAAAAACTCAAAGGGCTTATCCGTTCTTGTGGGGTGTAAAGTTGTTTGGTAAATATGTGGGTGTTTGTGTAATGTGTTTAATATTGAAAACTTTACCACAATACTACGTAAAAGACTTCGCTGTTGCTGTTCTTGTTAGTTTGATTTGCTGGGTCGCAAGTAAACAAAGGCGGGGTATATGATATGTACATAGAAGAAGAGTAAGTTTATTTACAATTTACATACAAGTCAAGAAGAGGAAGAGAGGAGAAAGTAATATGTTGATTAGGCTATAATAGATGTAAATATCGGGATGCTACGACTGGAACTACGAATCATAAGCGAACGTTGCAGGTACAAACTAGGCGAAAACTTCGGGGTGCAGTGGCGCTACGGCTACGGATTTACGGATTTGCGATGGGGCTACGGGGTTTACGGGTTGTTAACGATTACGGATTTGCAATGCATCTGCTGGTATTTACGCTTACTTACTCCACGGAAGCGGAGGAGGGTTCGGCTGCCGGGGCTTCAGTTGCAGGAGCGGACGATTCGGTGGCGGGAACTGCAGGTGCATCTGCCACCTGAGAAACCTCTGCGGTAAGCTGTACCATCTCCTCCAGCGACGGTTTCGGAGTGGGTGGACTCTCCTCCTCGTTGGCCAAGGCCCTTTCGATTTCCGGCTCCGGTGTTGAGGTCTTCAGACTATCCGCATCCTCTTGAAGTTCGGGAGTCGGAGCTCTGGAATTACTCATCTCAACTGTGGTCTCTCCTGCATCGGTTTTTGAATCGCTTTCCTGCGGCTGCTCCAGGTGGAGACCCTCCATCACCTTGTGCTTGGCCTCGTCCAGAGTCTGAGTGCCCTCCTTGAAGGCGTTGCCCAGCTCATTGGTAATTCCCGCCACCGCCGTGCCAACGGTTTCCTTGGCCGTGTCCAAAGTGGTGGTCAGTGTCTCAGAGGCTTCTGCAAGGAGCAAGGGGAATTGGTAGCACTTTCATTTGCCATTTCCCGAGAGGAGTGCTAACGTTTTCATATGCATTTAAGAGTGCAGTGGAAAAAAATCAAAAAAAAAAATTCAAAGAAATTCCAAACTAAACAAATAAATTAATAATAGTTTTAGAATCTATTTTACAGTTTTATTAATTGACAAATGTATATATCTTTAAATGATTAACCAAATTTTAGTAAGGCCCTTGTATTGAAAAACACTTATTTCCAATTAACAGTTTATTTTTAGCTTATTAACCCTAATTTCCCTCAGTGCAAGTCTACGTATTATATTTTTAAGTCAATGTTTTGCTCTAATTCGTTGACGTGTCGGTCACGCAACCAAGTCGTTTTTCTTCATATGCGTTAAATAAATGTATAAAAATATGGTTGGGGGATGGCCAATCGGAGCCAGCTTTCACTTGGGACCCATTGCGGCAAAAAGGCGAAAATCAGGCCGAAAGGCTCCGCAACACGCATTGCGCTGGCCAATTGTCCTTTATTACGTGGCTTGTTATTATAATAATACGAAATGCGAGCACATTTATTACCAACATTGTGCCTGGATGTATCGAATTTCTTTTTGGCATTAAGTGGGAATTTACTTGCTAGTTTTTGGACCGTAATTAAATGTATTTAATATTGATTTGGCCAAGAGGTCAAGGACTTCATCTCGAAGGCTGTTTTTAGAGGTACTAAGTGTCATTAATCAAAAAATGTGAGGAATTTCTCCTCATTTAGTTAATATTAATTATCCGGTCATTGTAGTTAGTTAACAGGTCAGGGACTTTTCTATTTTATAGATTCAATTTTCGAACTTTTTTCACCCTGCATAATCTTAGTTTAATTTTAGATTAAAAAATATTAAGTATACGCTCCGGTTGCTTATTTTGGAGTTACTTTTCGGTTATCTGTGAAATAAAACTAACTAAATATAAGTGAGTAAAGCGCTTGGGATTTGAAATTATCTAAGGACCTATTATTTCGTGAATATTGAGTAAACGTTTGGGGTTTCCCCTTTGCAGCGAACTCTTAAATGTCATCTGCTGGCCAAAGCCAACTAATGGTCAACACGGATTGGTAACACACACACACACTCACACACACACACCTTGGACGGCGGCCTCGCCCTTCTGTTTGACATGGCTGGCGGCTTTTAGCATTTCGCTGCCCGCCGTTGCAACCATGGGAGTGCTGCTGGCACAGCCCATGACTTCTTCTCAATACTCGCCAGACAATCGCCGAATCATGCCGAATCGGACCGGGAATCGATGTGGACTGCTGCGGCAGCCGTCGAGGATTTATTAATATCGAATATGAATATGAATTTGGAATAAAAACTACGCCCGCCTTTGGTCACGAACTCAACGCAACTGAGCACTGACCCAAAACATTCGCTGCCAAAGTGAAGGGTCAGTTCGGCACTCGACCACTGAACACCGACCACCGCTGACATTCCCCTTTCGAATCCCTGCCATTTCCATTTGCTGGGCACGCAACAGGACCGGACCGTTCTGGGCTGGCCAAGACCCACGGAGCACGAGCACTTCTGGCTCCACAGTTTGCATGTGCGTTTGCACTTCAAGTGAAGTCAAATTGTTGAGGTCATGCGCGTTGGGCGCACACTTACCGTAGTTATAGTAGTTATAGGCCAGCGCTAAAAGGGTTCTAGGTCTGAACCAAAATAAGTTAAGTAAACACGTTAGGTCCTAGACTATAACATACCCGGTACCAAAATATATATATATCTATGTGTTGAGATAAGTAAAACACCATTACTCAAGATAAGATGAAATGTAAGTTAGTGGTTATTAGTTTTGGTGTAAATATAAAAAGCAATTAATATGGAATTGAATAAATATAGATAGCATATCATTGTTGTATAAATCATATAAATAGAGATGTAGAGAAAATAAGATTGTTGAATTATTAAATTTAACTTAAAATTGTTCGAAATGTTCGTGGTTTCAGAGTTATATTCGGTGCTGATCTTGAGCAGTTTCCTGAAGAGGAGTATACCCTCCTGACCTATAAGTACCCACCACAAAAATGAAAGCAAAATGAGGAAAAGTGAAAACAAGGATTCATATAAGTAATTGTGGGTGTGTGGGTGTGTGTGTGTGTGTTTGAGTGGGGGGTAGCGTGTCGAGATACGCTTCATTTGTCCGATAGGTGGCGTGCCTTCGATTCCCCACTTGACGTGAGATTGTGTGTTAGTCTGTTGGTCAATAAAAGCTCCACTCGGTTATTATTTTTAGAACGTGGCACGATGTCCAATTGTTGCTCCAATTTCCATATGGGTTTTTGCCCCTGCCCATGAATGAAGCGAAATGTCCGGTTGGGTTGACAGTCTCAATCAGATAAGAGCTATGATATCGATTTCGCGGCATATTCTGTCGTATGCAAATGCAGATTGCGCTAGATTCGCCTGAGAGACCCACACCGCCCAGAGATGATCGACAGCGGCCCTTCGAAAAAATTGGTTTTTGATTTATTCGTGAGTGTTTAGCTTTTGGCTTGTTTTTTTTTTTTCTGCAAACGATTGGCTCTCGGGGCGCTGAATGCCTATTTTTGCCGTTCGGTGATTTATGTCAGTCAAGCAGTGACAGCGCTTTTCATGAGCCAATAAAGTTGTCCATGTCGCTTTGTCATATTCATATATCATGGCCGTACGTACACCCGGCGACTTATGTCACATGGTCCAAGAGCCCGATACTGCGATACCCCGATACCTCGAAACCCCGAAACTGGAGTATCGAGCTGAGCCTGCGCATAAACGGAGCTTAAGTGCGCGATCGAGAGACGTCCACCGATGGCGGATGGTGACGGTGACAAAACACAATTTGGCCCGGCCAAACAAACAGACAGACAACTTACAAACAAGTACATACCAAGCGGCCCGAAAAGTCGCATATAAATCAGCACACGCAGCTGGTTCATTAGACCTCCACTCGCAGCTCTTGGCGCTGCCATTTGGCCTGACATTAATTACATAAGCTAAGCGGTGCTTAATTATGTGCTCAACAATAGACCAAAAGTGCTCGAGAGCCAGTCGACTGCTCCGTGATGTAATGGCCTCCAATGCGAAAGTTTCGCCTCTTGATACTCAGCAAGTACTCAGACTTCAACTGGGTAATTAGGTGACTGACGATCTTCAAATGATATGTGGGTTCTCTTCAGAAAATCAAAGAGACATCTGCCAATTCTAATTCATAAATAGAATATTAATTTTAATTTCAATCAGAAGTTTGCAACGGAGTGAAGGAGTCATCTCAGTTCTCATAAAATATAATACTCCTTGATTAGCATCACTATCTAAACTTATTTTGATATCTACATCTGTTTCTCTGGCCGTTTCTACTATACTAGTACTAAAGCGCCATGGCTTTTCTGTAAATCGGTTTCCAAATTTTCTTAAATTTTTTAATCAACTAATTCCCCTATAAAAAAAGTGTTTGACAAATGCTTTATATAAAGCCGCCCTAATCTTTATGTCTTTTTTCCTCTTAACATAGCTTTTGTGTCATTATTAAGTTGGAGGAAAATATAAAAGAAAAATACGAGCGCCGTAATAATTTTGATATTAATACACATTTTTACAAAGATGTCCAGGTCAAAATGGACAGGTATAAAGAAGCCACGAATTTCCGGTAAATAACTATAAAATGTGGGCGGAAAAATATGTTTTATTTGAAATGACAAGCAGTGTATTCGCTATGCGTAAGTTTTCTTATAAGTGTAAAATGTCTGACAGGTGGTAAAGAAAATCATACGGTTACAATACTTTTGAGTTGTCTTTAATAGATCAAAATTGAAATCCATTTAACACTTTCGAGAAAATGCAGTGCTTAATCGTTTTATTGTTGTAACGGAACGCAAGATAATAATATTAATTTTAAAGACTACCGCATCTGACAGCTGCTGAAGGATCAATGCGATCAAGTTCAATAGATGACGGAACCTCATTAATTCTCGCAGCCCAATGCTAATGATAATACCATCGGTAAAAATAGCCTCCCTCCTTACATCCCACTCTGGTGACATTTGTGCGCTCTCGCACTAATTTGCTTTATGATATCAATGAAATATCAGCATATATATACCCATAAACTTATATATATCTTTGGAGACACGAAAAATGTGTCGGTTCCCTTCGAGAAAAGTCAGATTTTCCGCGGATGCTCAGTCTTGCCTGGGCTCTCGACGGAAACGGTGCGTTCTCAAGAAAAATTCTAAATTGTGTCTTCCTTAAATCTCCGAAACATATATACATTTTTATCTTTTATTATTTGAAGTAACTCAGTTATTGAACACTCCGTGAACTCTAATTGCGAAAAGTACTTTGTTTTAGTGAAAAACTGTCCCTTTAGTTTCAAGAAATCTTATAAGCATATGTAAAAAGTGTTCAACATGTGCTATTTTTAAAGCCGCCTTAATCTTTATGGCTTTGCTCCTCTATATATCTTTACATATATAGCTCTTGTCCCATAAACATGTTGGAGAACAAATAAAAAAAGAAACGAATGTCGTGAAATTTTATTAATGTCTTCTTTTTTATAAAACTAAAATCCAAGAAGTCATCAGAAGTGAGAGTGGAAAGGTGTGAAGAAGCTCTTCTATAAGGATCTTGTTAAGGGCTGCAGAATGTGGGCGGCGAAATATGTTTTATGTGCGCTGACATGCGTTGCATTTGCTACAGGTAAGTGTGGGTGGAAATCCATAATATTTTACGAAAGCTGTGGAAGGGGAAATTTATTGGATAGCTTAGCAAGAATTTTGGGATTATAAACGTGATGCTTTGAGTTTGGACCGGGTCTCTTTATTTTATTTTTGTCGAAATACGAAAAAAGGAGTCATCGGTTGACGACACGCACAAATTTTCCAAACTAACTAATAAACTTAAGAATTTAATTATTATATATTTATTCTTTATTATAAAACGTACAATCTTAACTTTGCAATTTTAAATTAGGACATCATTTTGTCTTTGATTTATGAAAATAGGAAAATCTAGTTTATTAAGAAGAGAAAATAAATGTTTCAGCTTTTGTAATTTGTCATAAAACCACAGATTTATATTTGACAATTTTTCAATTCACATCTATATAACTATAAAAATGCCCACTAGATTGTCATAAAAACCATTTGTCTTAATAGCTAATGACATATATGTTAATTTTATGACACGTTCACAAGAAAAAATACTATGTGAAAGAGTAGTCATGGTTAACACGAGGCGTATATATCTACCACAACAAAATATTACTCACCAAATCACCGGCCGGCGTTTACCGATCGTAAATCAATGGAAGAAAGTCCGAAAATGAAAAATGAAATTGTAGGAAAGGCGGGAAAAGGTAGATGGCAATGAAAAATCTTTTGGCAACGATTCAAATGATTGATTCACCCAGTTTTTATGGGTTTCCCCTTAAACAGTTAAGCAGTTTTATTATATCTGAGTGTGTTTAATTGCTGGAGGATTGTGGTAAGGTTTTTTCTATAAAGAAATTTTGAAAACTATGACAAGGAAAACATTTTAAATGAATTAAGGAATGGTTGTTCTTCTTTAACGATCTTGTTTGTAAGAAATAGGAAAGTCACATAAAAATATATTTCTGAAATTTAAAATAATTTCTGTATCCCACAGCTTCTCCAAGCTCAGAGCGCAGGAGGAAAAATATAATGGATGTTATCGAGGATGCAGATGTGCCCCCCTCCTTGGCAAACACTTTGGATATGAGTTGCTCGGCGGCACAGATCCATCCGCCGGTAATAAGTCATGGCACGGTGGTCAATTTCGATCGCCGTCGGAAGGGCAAAAGGGTTTTCCTGGTGGCCTTTTTCGCTTGTAGCGAGAACTTTGTGTTTGAAAACAAGAGCACCATGTACTGTTCAAACGAAACTTGGGTGGGTGAAATCCCAACCTGCATTCGTTCGGTTGATTACACTGAAGGCGAGATCGAAGAGTTCGATGACGAGGAGGAACTCGACGAGTACGAGACGGTTCCCGAGAATGAAGCCGAAAGTGACTATGATGAGGATAGGGAGCCTCTGAATAATGAACAAGAACCACCACCGCCACCACCTCCGCCGGTGAAGGAGGAAGTCGCACCGCCAACTGAGTCAGAATCAAAGCCCGAACCAGAAATCGTTATTCATATTAATGACGATGGAGTGATTCAAACTTCAGAAGAAGAGATTCCAGCTCCAGAAGGAGAGACAAAAGCTCAAGAACAACCCGAAAACACAACCGATCTCAACAATCCGGAAATTGAGGTCCTAACCGAAACATTTACCCCTAATAACACATCGGTGGAGCTAACAAAGGATCCTTACGAGCCAACCTTAGTAGACAATAATTGTGGAGAGGACAATGGCGGTTGTGAGCATATTTGCAATCGATGGCTAAATCCAGATGAAAACGAACCCGTACAAAAGTGCGACTGTCGAAAGGGTTTCACCCTGAATCCTGAGGATTACAAGAGCTGTCTGGGTGGGTTTAAGATTTTGTTCGCTTATCAAAGAAGTTTCTAAAAAATATATCCCTTAAACAGATATCGACGAGTGCCAGGAGTCGAATGGCGGTTGCTCGGAAATTTGCGAAAATCTTCCCGGAGAGTATAGATGCACTTGCCAAGTTGATTTTTATATAGATCCGACGGACGGAAAAACTTGTGTGTGTATGTAGTAAAAAATAAAATTGTTATTATAAAAGTTATGTATAAAAAAACCTTTTTCAGCTGAGACAACCGATGTTGCGGCGGAAGTTACTGAAGTCACCACACCCAAAACATCTTGCAATCCGGGTTTCCAACTCTCGGCCGATGGCACCGAATGTGAGGATATTAACGAGTGCGCAGTGCAGAACGCGGAGGACCTGAAGGACAACTGCCATCAAATATGTGAGAACGTCATCGGATCCTTCCGTTGCCGTTGCTTAGAGGGCTTTCATTTGCTTGCGGATGCGCGAACTTGTGCCTTGGATACCTGTGAGGATCTGAAGAATCCGGAATTGAATCGCACTCGCTGTGCTCACGAATGCGAGGATCTTCCCAACGGAAACTACCAATGCAAGTGTCCCAAGGGCTACGAACTGGATAAGGATTTGCATTCGTGTGTGGTCAAGGAATCACCTTGCTCCAGCCAGAACGGAACCGAGCAATGCTTGCCGGGAACCTGTTTCCCCAGCGAGGACAACACCAGCTTCAGTTGTATCTGTCCCACGGGCTATCGCATCGTGGCCTCCGGTTGCCAGGACATCGACGAGTGTGCCGATGATACGCATCTGTGCAGTCACAGCTGCCAGAACACCCAGGGTGGCTACCAGTGTATCTGTCCCGAGGGACTCAACCTGGTCGAGGACTACACCTGCGTGGCCGAGGATCGCTGCGAGGTGAACAACAACGGCTGCGAGCAGATCTGCCTGACTGCCCGCGGAGGTGCCTGCTCCTGTCGCGAAGGATTCCGCCTGAGTCCGGATGGCAAGAGCTGCGAGGATGTGGACGAGTGCCAGGCGAACAACGGCGGCTGCCAGCAGCTGTGCCGCAATCTGCCAGGTTCGTATGGTTGCCTCTGCGCCGCCGGCTATGAGCTCCTCAAGCTGGACGGCCTGCGCGGCTATTGCTTCGACATCGACGAGTGCTCGCGGGGAGTTCACGATTGCAGCGAGCAAATGCTTTGCGAGAACCTCAACGGTTCCTACACCTGCCTCTGTCCACCTGGCTATGCCCTGGGCTTGGACAAGCGCATCACCAACACCACCATCACATCACCAAACAACACCTCATTAACGCATGATTCAATCCCATTCGAACATCCATCACCACCCGCTTGCTTGGACATCGATGAGTGCTCCCTGGCCAACGGGAACTGCTCGCACTTCTGCCAAAACGAGCCGGGTGGCTTCCAGTGCGCCTGTCCCTTGGGCTATGCCCTTTCGGAGGACATGCGCACCTGCCAGGACATCGACGAGTGCATCGATGGCAATGGCCAGTGCTCGCATCTCTGCTTGAATCAACCGGGGGGCTTCGCCTGCGCCTGCGAGTCGGGCTTCCAGCTAACCGCCGATGGCTTCGGCTGCTCCGACATCGACGAGTGCTCGCAGAACTACGGCAACTGTAGCGACATTTGCATCAATCTTCTAGGTGGCCATGCCTGTGCCTGCGAACGGGGTTACGAGTTGGCCGCGGACAGGAAGACCTGCCAGGATGTGGACGAGTGCGCGGGCCTGCTCTCCGGCGGTTGCACCCACGAGTGCATCAACAAGGTCGGATCCTTCGAGTGCGGCTGTCCCGTGGGCTACGTCCTCAACGAAGACAGTCGCAGTTGCAGTCCCGCTCTGGTGGGATGTCCTCCCGGCACCGAGCGATCTTCCGAGGGCTGTTTGCCCATTAAATGTGACGCGGGTTTTGTCCTGGGATCTGGCAAGGAGTGTGTGGACGTCGACGAGTGCCAGGAGAAGAACGGCGGCTGCTCGCATCGCTGTTCGAACAGCGAGGGTTCCTTCAAGTGCAGCTGTCCACCGGGCTACAGATTGGATAGCGACCGCAAGACTTGCAGGGATATCGATGAGTGTGCGGAGGACAAGACGAGTTGTGTCTCCGGAAAGTGTGTAAACGAGATCGGAGGTTTCCGCTGCGAGTTCGCTTCCTTTTCTGACTTGCCGGATGTTCCAATAGTTTCAACATTGCCCAAGCCGGAGTCCAAGGATCCCAAGTACCCTGACTTTACCGAACTGTCAAATGAAATACCAGTTGCGAAGTTTCCAGATTTCGCTGAATTACCCAAGCGAAAGTTCCCCTCATTACCAGAGTGGCCAACGCGAGCCACTCCAAGGTTGCCATCCTTGGATGACTTGCCCACAACGAAAGCCACTGTCTCGAAGCCTTCTGAAAAGCCAAGGACTCCTTGGGTTAATCCGTTCCAGCCCAGGGATCTCTGTCCTCGATTCCAGGCACCGCGCAATGGCAAATCCCACTGCAATAGGTATCGCCATAAGCAGAAGCATTTCTACAACAGTCGCTGCCGGATCACCTGCAATCCGGGATATGTTCTAGACGGTCCGGAAATCAAGAGTTGTGGTGAATCTGGAGTTTGGGAGGGCCCCGAATCCAAGTGTGTGGGTAAGCAACTTATTTGTAAGGTGATTTCCATAATCATGTCTTACATTTCCCTAATCTTTACTCAGCTCTTAAACAGCCTCGTGTTCAGCAGCGAGGAATTTGTCCTGCTCTGCAGCCCGCTCGCAATGGAGTCATAACACCGGCCAGCTGCACTCAAGGTCCCTCCAGATTCGGAGACATCTGCTCATTAAGTTGCAATCCTGGATTCAGACCCACCGGACCCCTGCTGACCTCCTGCATGGTTTTGCAGGGCTGGTCCTTTGGTGGCAACCTCAACTGCCAGCCCTTTGATAATGGTTTGTTTGGCAATCGCATCAACTGGCCCCAATGGAATACTCTGCCGAAAGTGACACCCCTTCAAACAGAGCAAGTTCAAGGGGTCCGGCCGTACATAAAGTGTCCGACGAATGTGGTAATCTCCCTGCATCGCGGAGAACGAAAGGTTCATGTCACTCTGCAGAAACCCGAAACGAATGTGAAGAACGGTCGCTTGGTTGCCCATCCCACTTGGGCGGGTCAGCTTCAAGGTCATCTGCCAGCTGGAGTTCATAAGGTCGACTTCAGAGTCACCGATCCGGAGAGCAGGCAAACAATTGGTTGTCACACAATCATCACTGTTAGAGCGCCAACAACTCTGGAAGCGGATCTCCTCAGCTTCTCCCCAAGATCATCTCTACCCAGGCCAGCCCCATTCGCCACCTTGGCCACGAGTAGTTCATCTGCCTTCCCCTCATTTGAATCTTTAAAGGAAAGCCCCAAGCCGGTGGTTGCCTTTCCCACATTTTCCACCCAAAGTGCAACTCGAAAGACAGAATTTCCAAGCTTCAGTGCCACAAACCCTAAGTCCTTGTCCTACTCCAGGTTGGAGCCCCTTTCCCTGGACTCTGCTCCCCAGCCACAACCGTTTCCCACATTCTCCACTCACAGTTCGCTCCGTGTGCCGGAATTCAAAATTTCCTCAAATCTTGACTCATCACCTTATTCCAAGTTGGAGTCCCTTTCGCAAAAATCCGACAATCTGATTAGTCAGTCTCCTTTGCGTAGCGAAAGCACACGAGTTGATTTGGGAACGGACACTGCAAACTACTGTCCTCCTTCCATCGAAGTCCATTTGAAGGAGCACCAGAGCATGCGATCGGTGGCTTGGAAAGAGCCGACATTCGAGGGCAAAAAACTGACGATCTTTAAGTCGCATGTAAGTTATTTTGTTAATCATGAAGTATATTTGAAATTTTGTAATTATGATATCTCGTATTTAGTTTCCTGGTGCTTTATTCAAAGTGGGAGATCATACAATCAAATATGAGGCTACCACCACCGATGGAAGAACTCTAAGATGCATTTTCTTTATTCATGTCAGATGTAAGTAAATCTTTTTTGGATAGGTTTATTGGAAAACTACTTATAAACATAACCTGATACTTATAATCATAAATTGTTATGGTAATTATTTCCTATTTTATTACCTATAGCTGCCAAGCCAACTCCTGCACCTGCTCAGCCGGAAATTACTTTTGATTCTGAGCCCGAATCTATTTCGGCTCCCGCCCAACTTCGACTTTTGAATGAACCCGGGACATATGTTGTCTGTCCCGATAAGGAGCCCGTCCGGGTCACTGCGGAGCAATCTGTAAGAATCCCTTTCCTCTTAAAATGTCTTATATCCTATGCATAATTTTTTTTCGAAGGTCGATCTGCCAGTTGGCTGCACTCTGAAGAATGTGAGCCCGCAATTAAATCGCCAAAGAAACCTAAAACGTGGCACACTCACTTCACTTTGGCGTCCTTTTACCAATTTTTAATGAGTGTAACTATTGGGTTAACTAAAAACAACTATTTACTACGTGGTGTGAACTAATGGATGTGCAATTAATAACCATATTTTTGTACGACTTTTGTATGCTTAATTAAAATAAATATTTAAAAAAATGTGGGCAGTGATTTCAACGACTAAATGTTAAATGGAAACGAGGTTTCATAATTTTAATCACTTTTTTGTTTTTCTTTTCGAAGGGTGTGCGATGTTCGGTAACCACTTCAACCTTTCAAGTTCCCAAATATTGTGTAGTGCTCACTTTCAATACAGCCAAGAATAATGGCAATTGTAAGACAGGTAACAACATACTGCCTGGCTGTCAGAGGGACGGCCAGACGGCTTCCTTGGCAATTTGTATGGGTCTTTGTCTTTGGCGACAGCTTCCTCAAACACGCTTTTGAACTTGGCGGAGATTGGTATTGGGGAAACGGGGATTGCGACTGCGACTGCGACTCCGATTGAGATGGAGCTGGCAGTTCGGGGAGGAGTCGCTCCGTTGGGGTCTATTGCACAAGGCGGGACTTGTCGGGTGTTTTTTGGGGACCACCTTGGGCATAAATTGTAATTATGCCTGCCACCGCGGCAGACAATAAATCTCAAAGTATTTATCGTACAACATGACAGAAGTGGGTCGGACCTGAGCCCGAACCCAAGCCCAAATATCCGAGATTTTCCCCGTCGCGTTTTTCTTTCCCCACAAACTTTTTGCATACGAGAAGCGAAAACATTTACAATATTTACCCGCAACAATAACGTTTTAAATGCGGTTATGACTAAATGCAAAAGTTATTTTGATGTTGAATGCCTTTTGTGGGGGGGCTGTCGCTTAAAATTGTGCGCATAACTTGGAACATGAAAAGTTACTTAGAGTCGGCGGAGTTTGCGGGGCCTTTAATTAAAAGCGACAGGTTTCGAGACATTTTACTTTGAGATCGTGTTGTTTGCTTTGATGCCGTTGTGTTGCAGTTGGAAGTTGCAGTTATTGTAATTACATATGGCGATGTCCAGAGCCAGATCGCCGCACCCAAACTCGAAGAGCTCTGACCCACATTTGCGCCACCACTCGGACTTTGAAGATGCAAATGGAACCGCGTCGCATCGCATCGCATCGCACAGCACAGCACAGCACAGCACAGCATCGCGATCGCAGACGGCGCCAAATTTATGTAATCAACACCAACCCAAATGGATGCCATCGAATGAAATTGCCAGCTCGGACTTGGAGCGGGGATATTCGAACTCGAATTTGATGATGTCAGCGGCGGCAGAAGGAGCAAGCCAGCCAAGTCGGAGGCGGCAGCAACCCAAAACCTAGGCAAAAAGGTTATCAATATCCCAAGATCTTTTGTAAAAGTTGGCAAATTTCACTCGTAATGCAATCGCACGCAATGTCCACCACTCCGAAAGGCAGCCACAAATAACAGAAATTGGTGTTTAGCCAAAGGGAAAGCCAAGAGCTGAGATGATTTCAAATCTTTAATTATACCGGCGAGTAGTATGTATGTGCGGGAGCATAAATCATATTGACACTTGGTCTTAATTAAAGGCAACCCACAAAGCCGAGTTCTAGTTGGGCACTTTTTTGTAGAAAAACCATAAATCAATGCCTGGGCGCAAGCAAACTAATAAAATTCAATTTGTAATCAAAAACTTCTGCAACGCCCTGCGAAACGAGCCGGCAGACGAGTTCTTGAGTCTTTGAGACTTTGACTTCAATCAGCAACAGTTAGAACGCGAAGAATCGAGGGGGTTACGCGTCTCGCTTTTGACTTCCAAGAATGCAGCTGTTCTACGGCCGAGGCTCCATCGTCAAAACCCATAAAAATGAACATGCCAGGCGGCTGTCAGAAAGCCAATGCCGCTGCTCCTCAGACGGCTACTCACTAAATCCGAATCCGAATCGGACAACATACAACAACACACAAACACGATGAGAACAACGCGGACGGGCTGAGTGTTGGCTCTTTGGAGTGACGTTTTGGGCCTGGCTGTGGCAGCCAGAAGAACAAAGTCAGCGCCGAAGTGCCCATGGGCCTAGAGAAGGTCGAAATCGGAGCGTGAGAGTTATGATCTCGTCTCGTGATTTTCGGTTTGCATCCCAAAAGGCACTTGTGCCTGCCAAAACTGATCGTTCTGGGTCAATCGAAGGCAGCAAAGTAGGTGAAGCCAAGTTGAAATTGATATATTTAGACAATTAAATTTAGCACGGTTTTCAAGAGTTCTTAAAAAAATTAACAGGGGTAAGATACTTGTAATTTGCGATTCAGAATTTTATGAAAATCTGGGTGAATTTAATTAAGGTACTTTTTTTTCTTAACATTATGAGCATCTTTTTCGCTTAGCAACTATAGTTTTTATGGTTGTTATGCTATTTGGAATATCTATTATTGCAGTATTTTTCCCAGACTTTTTCAATGGATTCGGTTCCGCTTCCAACTTGCTGGATTGATTCCCATCCAAAACGGAGAGCTCGTCCGTGGACCATCTCTAGCCGCTGGCTTTGGGGTCCATGACGAGCTTCATTCCATTTCATTTCGGCCGGTTCCATTTGGCTGTTTGGCTGTTTGGCCCGCTTTGTTTGCGCCGTTAACCTTGGGGGCACAGCAGCCGACCGCGACCGTCAAGAAGTGCAAAACAAAACAAAGGCAACAGAGACGGGGCAAAAAATTGGCAAAAGAAATGAAATGCCGGCGTAAAGAAGAGGATTTGCATGCCACCTGAGTGGGTGGGTTGAGGGGAGGTGGAGTGCCGGAGTGCCAGAGTGATTGACATGACTCAAGCGGGTCGAGTTTTCTTTTTCAATTTGGCAAAGCAAACCGCAGAGCTTTTTGTGGGTCAGGGTCAGGATAGCAAATGTCAAAGCGACCGCAGATGCACACATGGCCCGAACATTGTTGCCCCACCAATTCCCCACCAACCGACCAACTCGGACCTCGGACCACGGCCATGTGTAATTGCTTACGCACGCGACCATCGAACGCGGTGAATTGCCATTGCCGTGCTTCCACGTCCACTTTCTTTACAATTTATTTTGGTTTATGTGTTTATCGCTTCTCGCTAATCTCGCAATGCGGCAGCCACCGGCAATCAGCGACGGTGACAGTTGGGGCAACTCCCACAAAAAGCCAAGCCCAAGGAGCAAAAAAAATTCAGCGACAGTCGAACAGTCGAAGCTATACGACGGCTATACTACGGCCACAAAAAGTCGCCTTGCGTTCCGTCGCATGATTTATGGCGCGTAATTTGCGTGCGCATGCGCAAATTGCGCCATAACCTTTTGCTTTTGCAGCGGCGGCTTTCCTCGATTCCAGCAGCTTCCTGCTGACAAATGAGCCGCCTCCCAAAAGAAGTTAACCCACTGAGGATGGGTTCTCGAAAATGGGAAAGAAAGTTCTGTCGAACTACTCTAAAATATGTTACTTCTTAGGCTTTCAAGCAGCTAAAGATTCTGGTGATTGCATATGCGACCTAGTATAAGGTAAACCAAAAAAAAAGTAATGATTAGCTGTCTGTCAACGTCTACCAAGTGTATTTTATTTAAACAACATACTTTTGTTTCGATAGCTGGAATTTAAGCAATTTACGAAAAACTACAAAAAAACCCCCACAGAAGCTTTAAAGTGCATAAATTCACTTGGCACACTTGCAGAATCGTTAGGAATTCCCTAGAAGTAATATTCAATCATTAGGTATCCATTTTTAGATGGAATTCGACATAAAATAAAACGATATTTTAACACACGCCCCCATTTGTGGGCCAACCTCAATGGGTTAATGGAGCCGCAGTGAAAGAGAGCAAAAGTGTGTCACTTGAATTCTTTCGGGTTTGTCTTGAATTACTCGACTGGCAACCGGCCATCGATAACCCGGATCGAGGGAATGGACATTCCGGAATCGGGTGGACGGGAATGGCCGACTGATTTATAATTTCATTGAACTATTACCGTAGCGACAGTGTTCGGGGGACAGCGTTCGCCAAATTGATTAACAATCAAAATAAATCAATACACAGCCTCGGAGCGAGAAACGTCAAAAATCGCAACGAGCAAATTGCAATTGCAACACTTTCGCTGCAGATTGTGTTTTTCACACTTGATTTACATTTTGAATTGAAAAGGCTAACCAAAACCGAAACCCAAAACCGACCGCTGAAAACTGAAACCCAAGTGGAGGAGCGCAAAAAAAAAAAACAGGAAAAAAAATACACAAAATACGAAATTTCCAGCCGGCGGGCATGAAAAGTGCAAGACGAATTGGGCGACATTGTCAGGCGGACGGAGCTGAGATTGTTGCCTGGATTTGGGGCATGTGCGGCACTAACACCCGTCCGAGATCCCAGACGAAGACCCCACCGCATCGAGGACCCCGGGGTCCAGTCACCAGTCTCCAGACTCCGACACTGGCAGACTTGAGACCCGACCGACCGGCCACCTGATAAAGAGATCAATGGCAGAGACGACCACTTCGCACAGGTGAAATGTCAATTTGCCGCACCGCACCACGTAACTCAAGAGTTAATCGTCCACGCCATAATGCTGTTAAGCCGTCTAATTGAAGTTTCACTTTTCCCTGACTGCCTGACCTCTGTGCAGATACATTAATTATCTGTAATGAACGTTTACACTTATTTATTGGCATTAAATCATCGTTTAACGCGTTTCGAGCATGCACTTTCCGGCGGTCCACGAACGGCCTTCATTGATGCGTCGTCTGCCCGTCGCGATTCGAAGAAGATATATAGATATATAATGCCGTCTCCGACATGGATATGCATGTCAAGTGGCCGCAAATTACAGCCGAGGACGCTTCCGTTTTCTTTGTCGTTGGGTTTCTAAGCGGAATGGAACCCGCTGATAAAGCCAAACCGAACCGGAGTTCATTGGCATTTTGTGCCACATAGCAAATGCCTGGCACTTAGTAATGAGTTATGAGCTATGAGCCACCAGGCAGGCAGTCAACTAGTGAACTCCCAAGGAGGAGGCGCTACACTGGATCAATGGCGATTGAGTGTGGGCATTAACCCGCCTCGGAATCGGATTGTCGGATTGTACTAAGTGCAGGGCTGGGCTCAATTATGGCAAATTTCTCGGGAATTAGGGTTCATAT